AGCTGGGATTACAGGCACCCACCACCATGTCTGGCTAATTTTTTTACATTTTTAGTAGAGATCGGGTTTCACTATGTTGGCCAGGCTGGTCTCGAACTCCTGACCTCATGATCCCCCCACCTCGACCTCCCAAAGTGCTGAGATTACAGGTATGAGCCACTGCACCCAGCCTATTTTGTTATTATTATTATTTCTTTCTAGAGTTGAAGTCTCGGTCTGTCGCCCCAGGCTGGAATATACTGGTGAGATCATGGCTCATTGCAGCCTCCAGGTCCTGAACTCAAGAGATCCTCCTACCTCAGCCTCCCAAGAAGCTAGGACTACAGGTGTGTGCCACCACACCCAGATTTTGCCTAAGCTGGTCTCGAAGTCCTGACCTCAAGCAATCCTCCCACCTCAGCCTCCTGAGTCACTGGGATTACAGGTGTGAGCCACCATACCCCAACTCTTGTAGTCTTCTTTAATTGTTGGAGCATCAACCTTCAGCCAGGAGACAGCCTTACTTCCCAGTGAGCCACAAACTATGCAGAAATTTCAGACTTCAGGGGACTGGGGGTTTATTTTTATTTATTTATTTTTGAAACAGAGTCTCATTCTGTTGCCCAGGCTGCAGTACAGTGGCGCAGTCACAGCTCACTGCAGCCTCAACCTTCTGGTCTCAAGCAATCCTCCCACCTCAGCCTCTTGCGTAGCTGGGACTACAGGTATGTGCCACCACACCCGGCCCAGGGAATTTTGTTTGAATTTCTAAATATCTCAGCAAAAACCTTCCAATACGCCAATTCTACCGAGAGGTCTGAGTGGCTGCCTTGTGCCTCAACCAATGCATGCATACAACAATCCTCTTCTTTTCTCCAAACAGCTTTTCTTTTCCTGGCTCACATCTCTCAGAGTTGTAGATTCTCATACCAGATCAGAGTAAAGTGGCCCAGCTAACAGGATCACATGCCAAACCATGTCGTATGTTCACAGGCACTTCCAGGCAGCTTTGTTGGCCTTGTGCACTGCGCAGCCGGGTGAGAGAGCTGGGGGGTCTCTGGTAATTCATAATTTATTGATCTGGCACCACTTAATCCACAGAGAACTATCAGGCTATAATGCAAAGAATATGAGACTAGAAGTGCAGGGACTTGAGTTTGAGTCCCCTTTTTGCCCCTAATTAGCTGTGTAGTTCAGATTAAATTATTCCGCCTCTCCATTGGGCCTTGATGGTCTCATTTGTAAAATGAGATTATTAGAATACAATGATCAGTAATGATTGTCTTTCCCCCATGCATGACCACATAAGAATCTGAAGAAAGCTATAGATTCTCTCCCCCAGAATAATGCACTTTTGCACATGAATATGAAATCAGGCTGGGTGCAGCAGCTCACATCTGTAATCCCAGCACAACCCTCAGCCTGTAATCCCAGGCTGAGGTAGGTGGATTGCTTAAGCTCAGGAGTTCAAAACCAGCCTGGGCAGCATGGCAAAACCCCATCTCTACAAAAGTACCCCCCCAAAAAAAAGTAAAAACGAATTATATATTTGAGAGGGGTTCACAGAGCTGACAGACTATTTCCCTATCCCCAGAGGCAAGATTACTGAGGCCTAGCACAAGCTTTTAAAAATAACAGAGACTACAATAGAAATACATGCAGAATCACAAAGCCTTGAGTAAAGTTGAATCATTTATAGAACTAAAAGCATCTCTTCTGCAGAAACTGAGAGCAAGGAATAGTTACTTAGCGAAAAATAAATGGAAGTATCAATAGGAGTTTCCCTTGGTAGAAGCCTGGCTAAGCCTTTTACATTTGCAGGGGGGTGGCTGAGAGTTACTACTGATTCTAGACCCAGGATCCTAGTTCAAATCTTGGCTCTAGAATTACTAGCTGTTTGACCTTAGGCTTTGTGCCTCAGTTTCTGCATCTGTAAAAAGGAGGGGAGAAAAAAATACCTATCTTAAGGGTTGTTAAGGTACCTAGGACCCTTGTAACAGGGCCTGCCACAGTAAGCCCTAGATAGCTATTAGTTTATAATAGAAATCTGGGCTGGACATGGTGACCCATGCCTGTAATCTCAGCACTTTGAGAGGCCCAGGCGGGTGGATCACAAGGTCAAGAGATGGAGACTATCCTGGCCAATATGGTGAAACCCTGTCTCTACTAAAAATACAAAAATTAGCTGGGTATGGTGGTTTGCACCTGTAGTCCCAGCTACTCAGGAGGCTAAGGCAGAAGAATCGCTTGAACCCAGGAGGTGGAGGTTGCAATGAGCCAAGATCACGCCACTGCACTTCAGCTTGATGACAGAGCAAGAATCTGTCTCAAACAAACAAAAAAATCTGACACACATTTGCTGAGTAGTTAAAACTGTAAGCTGAGGAGTTTAGAGAAATCATAAATACTTCAATGCCTTAGTTTCCCCAGACGTAAACTGAGGACAATGTTTCAAGGCTTAATGAGAGAATCAGATAAAAACTCTTTTCACAATGCCTGGCACGTAAGTGCTCAATAAATGTCAGCTGTTGTATTAACAGTTCTGGGAGGCAAAGATTACCATCACCCTTTTTTACTTCTGAATAATAGACAACTCAGAGAGTGCTAAGTGCCCTGCCAACAAAACTATGCTTAGAAAATTATTATATCAAGATTTGAACTAAGATGGGTCTGGAATCACAAGTTCTAACCACTACACTATATACCCTCCTCTTTGAATAGGGCTTAGAGAACAGAAGAGCTAATTCATACCTACTAGGTTACTAAGAGAAATATGTTTGGAGATAACAGTGCTAAATTTGGGAGATTCCCCACAGGGTCAACTATGAGCTTGGCCAAAAGCTTATCCGCCATGCTAGGAAATGAAAATCTGCATAGACTGGACTCTGTTCTCAACCAGTTGTCTTTCATCAAGTGGTTGTGAAACCACAGCCCTGACACCAAAAACGGAAAAAAGAAGTCATTTTCCCCAATAGCTGAAGGAGCAAAATGAAGCCTTAAAATTAAAGTAGTGATCCTAGGGCTGAGAAAAGATATCCAGTGCTCCAGAGCCAAGCAGAACTGCTGTAGCAGTACACTAATGTTACTCTTTCATTAACACACTTTTTCTTTTTTTAATGAACGTGTTTATTTCTATTATTTTAGGTTCCCTAACTCAGGGGTTCTTCCCATTAGTAAATTAAGAGGAAGTGTGTACCAGCCTGGAGGGGAGACTCCCTGGAGAGGCAAAGTGTCAGCTTGAGCAAGTTCCACTGTCAACACTGATGTCCTCCCCAGCTAAATCGTAATCAAAAGTGAAAATGAAATGGAGTGGCAGAAGAAACAGGACAACCAGTTGAGTCCATGCTAATCACTGATATTTCACATCTTTACAGTTTCTTCTAAATGTATTTTATTTTTGTATTTTTATTAAAAACTGCCCTTTAAGTCAATCTCAAGTCTACCCTTCCTTTAAAAAATAGTAATAAAAGGCTGAGCATGGTGGCTCAACCCTGTAATCCTAGTACTTTGGGAGGCCAAGGCAGGTGGATCGCTTGAGCTCAGGAGTTCCAGACCTGCCTGGGCAACATGGCAAAACCCTGTCTCTAAAATAAAATACAAAAATTAGTCAGGGGTGTGGTGGCTGCACCTGTGGTCCTAGCTACTAGGAAGGCTGATGTGGGAGGACCACTTAAGCCTCGGAAGTGGAGTTTGCAGAGAGCCAAGATCGCACAGCTGAGCTCCAGCCTGCCTAACAGACTAAGACCCTGTCTCGAAAGAAAAAGAAAAAAAGAAAATAATATTAAGAATAATAGGCCGGGCGTGGTGGCTCACGCCTGTAATCCAAGCACTTTGGAGGCCAAGGCAGGCAGATCACCTGAGGTTGGGAGTTCAAGACCAGCCTGACCAACATGGTGAAACTTCGTCTTAAAAAATAATAATAATAATAAAGGTCCAGCTATGTACCTACCTTAGGAACAGGCATCACTGGAAGTGATGGCAGAGGTGAGGCAGGAGTCCCTGACCTCACCTCCATTATCCCATTGAGGAGCCCGGCAGAGGCTGGTCAACTATCCAAGCAGTGCTCCCTTCTTCCTGGTGAAGGCATCAGCCCTCCAGCCCAGCCCCCTCCCAGGAGACGAGGAGGAGTTTACGCAATCCAAACCCAGTTCCCAGGCCCCAAAGGTGGATGTAACTGGGGTGGAAGTCAGAAGCCCGCCAGCTTGCAGGCCTGGTTCTGCTCCCATCTGGCTGAATGATCCTGGCCACAATACTCGGCCTCCCCCGGCCTTTGGCTCCCTGTCTGTAAAATGAAAGGTTTGATGGAGATCATGTGCAAGCCTCCTCCCCGTTCCAATTTTCTAATTCAACCATTCTTAACGTGTAGTGCAGAGATAGAAGCCCTTCCTTTCAGCAGGACACGTTGCTCCCCATTCTATGACCAGCCCCCTGAATAATCCGTGTAATTTGGGAAAAGTATGATACATCGGAACTGAAAAACAGGCTGTTGCTTTCCTGGTCACCAAATCTGATAATCAGTCAATATGGATTTTCCCTCGGGCCTTCTCCCGCAATGCCACAATCCCACGAGTAAACCTGCCTACCCCTCCCAATTCCTCAACTCAAAGCTACCCGTTCATGAATTTAAAAAAAAAAAAAAAAAAAAGTCCCTCCCCCCGGGCACCCCACCTCCGCCCAACCCGGCCTGCTGTAAGGTGCCACAGCACTTCTTCCGTAATCTAGAATTCACCTCTGCCCCACCTTCTCCCCGGGATGTCTTTTTAGGCTAGAACCCCTGGATCCTCACGCTCCGTCTCCCCGCCCTAGCAGCCAGCTGACCATTTCTCCCTGCCTGGCACATCTCGGCTGAAAAGGAGGTGGCTCCTCTGCTCCAAGCCCAGGGGACCCAAACCTCTTCCCAGCCCGCAAGGGTGCAGGCACTTGGGTGCAGGGGGAAGGGCCAGCGCCTCTGGAAAGAAAGGCCGCTGTCCCCACCCAGGCGGCGCAGGGGAAGCCCCCTCAGCGGGTCTCTTCTCACTTACGGGCGACTCCTCTGGGCAGAGCAGGGCAGGGCCAGGCAAGGCTTGCGGGCCGCGGAGTTTGCTGACTCAAAGGCGCGCGGCGGTGGCGGTGGCGGCGGCGGAGGCGGGAGCGCACACGAGCGCACGAGCGCACGAGCGCACGAGCGCAGCCCCGCGCACCCCGCGCACGTAGCGGCCCCGCGCCCGCGCTCAGCGCCAGCGGTCCGCCTGTGACTGCCGCTCCTCCTGCTTCCTCTCACTTGCTTAGCCCAGCCCAGGTGTCCCCCCGCCCTGCGGAGCCGGCCTCCTGCCTGGAATTCGGTTAGAGAGGAAATGTCCCCGTTAGCCCGGACGCTGAAGCTGGAGGTGATCCAGCAGCACCCTTCGGAATCGCCACCTGAGTAACCTTAAGCTTCCTAACCCCGACCCCACAGTTACGGGGAGGATTGCCGATGGGGAGAGGGACGGACAAATAACGTGATAGAAGAATGGCAGAATGTTCATAGCATCTAGGCTGTGGGCTTATGGGTGTTTGTATAAAATTATTTCAACTTTTGTATATGTTTGAAATGTCTCTTAAGAAAACATTTGGGAGGAAAGCTATGAGATCTGCCAAGGGACCTGACTCAGGAAGGCATTTCCCAAATGGCACCTGAGGTTGGGTCTCCAGAAAACCGCAATCATCACTTGAACTGCTAATAAGTGACTGAACGACACAAAATAATAAACATAGCCTAATATTTCATTTTTCAAGCATGAATTTTCTCATTAGACCCAGCTTGTTGCTGTTCATCCTCCAGGGACCCTTCCAGTCCCACCTGAAAATGCATCTGTTCCCGCCACACCTACGTTAACTCCCTAAAAAAACTTATAAATATATAATGTTGCGTCTTAACATCTTGGATCTTGAAGTTATATTGCTGAACCCTCAGTCACTGGTATTTAATTTCCAAAATTGCACCAGTCATAACACACAAGTGAATGCAACCATGGTCACTTTTGAAAATCAAATTAAAGTGCAGTTTTTAAATTTTTGTCCCTATGCTCCACAAAGAAAAGCATTGAGTAGAAAACAAAATGCAGCATATACCTAAGATCCTAAGAGATTCTGTAAAATTAAAATCTTTCTGAACGTATTGTCAAGATCATAACTTTACAGCTGTAGACAGCAGCAGCAAACCCTTGGAGAGTCTACTGAAAGTCATTTAAATATCTGTTAGAATTATGACCCTATTAAGAATGGTAACTTGCAATCTGAATCCAGGAAACTGACTTAAGTGACGGTCACCTTTTTAGATTGTGGCAGTTTTGTTAAACCATCGGTAGGGTGGGGTAAAAACTAGGACTCTACAGTGGTTAAGAAACCCTGCCTAGTGGCCAGGCTGGTGGCTCATGCCTGTAATCCCAGCACTTTGGAAGGCCAAGTGAGGTGAATCACCAGGTGTCAGAGACCAGCCTGGCCAACATGGAGAAGCCCTATATCTACTAAAATACAAAAATTAGCTGGGCGTGGTGGCACATGTCTGTAATCCCAGCTGCTTGGGGGAGCTGAGACATGAGAATCGCTTGTACCTGGAGGCGGAGGTTGCAGTGAGCCAGGATCTCGCAACTGCATTCCACCCTGGGTGACAGAGTGAGACTCTATCTCTCAAAAAAAAAAAAAAAAAAACCTGCCCTACTGAGAAGACCATAAACATTGCTTTTCTTTTTTTTTCTTTTTCTTTTCTTTTTTTTTTTGAGACAGAGTCTCCCTCTGTCGCCAGGAGCCAGGCTGGAATGCAATGGCGAGATCTCGGCTCACTGCAACCTTTGCCTCCCGGGTTCAAGCAATTCTCCTGCCCCAGCCTCCCCAGTAGCTGGGACTACAGGCGCGTGCCACCATGTCCAGCTAATCTTTGTATTTTTAGTAGAGACGGGGTTTCACCACGTGGGCCAGGATGGTCTCCATCTCTTGACATCGTGATCTGCCCACCTTGGCCTCCCAAAGTGCTGGGATTACAGGGGTGAGCCACCGAGCCCCGCCAACATTGCTTTTAAAAAGAAATATCAAGCCAGGTGAGGTGGCTCACCCCTGTAATCCCAGCACTTTGAGAGGCCAAGGCGTGTGGATCACTTTAGGTGAGGAGTTCAAGACTAGCCTGTCCAAGATGGTGATATTAATGAGCTGAAAATAGTCTTATTAAATTAATAAACAGTATTGGAACACTCACTAGAACTTAAGATTTACCATATTTAAAATTTAATTTATTAGATGTTGAGTTACTTGCTAATCAGACAATTAAAGATCTTTACAAATGAAACAAATATATTAAATTCATGAATGAAGTTAAAAATGTTTAGAGGCGATTAAGTTAATGGTATAGAACATTAATCAAATGCATTTTGGGTTAAGTTTGCTAGAGTTATAAATGGAATAAGATAGCTTTGCACAGTGGCAGTATCATAGCCAATGTGGTTTATCCAAGGCGCAATTACTGCAAATTGAAAACTTTTCCCAAGTCATCACAGGCAACTGTGATGACTTGCAACACAGTTGGCATCGGCAATTTTTGACAGTCTCTACGGAGACTTAATAATAAATAAATGAATAAATAAATAAATAAATGGAATAAATTTAAGTGTGATACTGTAAAATATATATTTGGTCATCATCCCCATTTCCTGGTATAAAACTCCTAAAATCCTTAGAATCCTCAAAGTGATGTCTTTCTGTATGCTAATGAGTTGACTGGTGGCTGGCAGCTCCTAGGTAGCTTCAGGAAGAGGCTGGTCACTGGAAAGACCACACATGATTAGAGGGTTGCAACTTCTAGCCCCATTCCCCAACTTCTCTGGGGTGGGGAAGGGCTGAAGGTTGAGTTGATCACCAATGAACAAAGGTTTAATCAATCATGCCTACATAATGAAGCCTCCATAAACGCACAAAAGGACAGGGTTCAGAGAGCTTCGGGGTGGCTGAACACGTGCAGGTGTCTGGAGGGTGGTCCACCAGAGAAAGGCATGGAAGTTCTATGCCCCTCCCCCCATGCCTTGCTCTATGCATCACTTCATCTGTATTCTTTGTACCATCTTTCTAATAAATTTATGTGTTTCCCACAGTTCTGTGAGCTATTCTAGCAAATATTTGAACCTAAGGATGGGGTTATGGAATCCCCAATTTAGAGCTGATGGGTCAGAAGCATAGGTAAATAGCCTGGGCAGAGCTTGCAATTGTCATCAGAAGTCGGGGGAGGCAATCTTGTGAGACTGAGCCTTCAACCTGTTGGATGTCTCCAGGTAGCTGGTAACAGAATTGAATTGGGGCCGGGCGCGGTGACTCACGCCTGTAATCCCAGCACTTTGGGAGGCAGAGGCGATTGGATAACTTGAGGTCAGGAGTTTGGGACCAGTCTGGCCAACAAGGTGAAACCCCGTCTCTACTAAAAATACAAAAATTAGCTGGTCATGATGGCCCATGCCTGTAATCCCAGCTACTTGGGAGGTGGAGGTGGCAGTGAGCCAAGATTGCGCCACTGCACTCCAGCCTGGGCAACAGTGAGAGGCCATCTCAAGAAAAAAAAAAGGAATTGAATTGGGTTGGAGGACACCCAGCTGGTGACCGCTGCAGAATTAACTGATTGCTTGGTGTGTGGGGAGAAACCTCCACATCTTAGTCAAAGAAGCCTTCCATGTTGACTGTGAAGTGAGACCAGAGGAAAAACTGTTTTTCCACACAGTTAGGCAAACTTTAAAAACTAAGGAATAATTATACTCTTAACTTGTAATTTTAACAAATCACACATTCTAAAAATAGCATCAAAATTATATTTTCTGTGCACAAGAACTACTCTTGGAAGTGTGCACGAGTGCACACGCACACACACACGCACACACACACACACACACACACACACAAACATTTATGACCAGGCTGGGAATGATGGCTCAAGCCTGTAATCCTAGAACTTTGGAAGGAGGCCAAGGCGGACAGATTGCCTGAGGTCAGGAGATCAAGACCAGCCTGGCCAACATGGTGAAACCCCGTCTCTACTAAAAATACAAAAAATTAGCCAGGTGCGGTGGTGCATACCTGTAGTCCCAGCTGCTCAAAGCCTGAGGCAGGAGAATCACTTGAACCTGGAGGGGGAAGTTGCAGTGAGCCGAGATCATGCCTCTCCACTCCCACCTGGGCAACAGAGCAAAACTCTGTCTCAAAAAAAAGAAAGAAAAGAAAAAGAAAAAAAAGAAACAATTATGACCATTTCTGCCTCTCTTGGTGTAATGGAGAAAGGTATTTTATTCTGTGTCTCATGGCATATCTTCTCAGTTCTTTGTAATTAGGGCTGTAATGGGAGCATTTGAGAAACTCCTCACTTTCCTGTTATATTTGTGGTAGATGTACCACAGCACCACCTTCACAGGGTTGTTGTAGAGTTTAAATGAAATAACCCAGGTAAAGCTTTTGTGCTGGGTAAACAGCAAGTTTTCAGTAAATTTTAGCTATTATTATAACTTGATCCTCTTCTCCAATCTCTCCTGTCTCCAAGCTAAGTACACTTAATTACACAGATTAAAGAAAGTCATCTCCACCCCCTGTCCTTCCTCCATCTCTTGGAAAAATTGCAAAATCCACAGATAGTAAAAATGGACGTTGCCTGGACTTGGTGTTCAGAAATTATAATTAACTGATAATATACATAACACTGTATTAAGAAACACTTTACCTTTAAGTGTTCGTGAATGGTCCTGCCTTCTTGGGAAACACTGTCACAGGAAATATTTGCAATGAAGGGAAGATGATTTTTACCTTTTCTGAAATAACTAATAATGGGATTTAAGAAAAAATTTAAATAAATGACAAATAATTTGGATTTGGATTTGTGATCTTGTGATCATAATTACCATTTTTTTCAAAAAGATGAAATATAGATTAATGGTGACTAAAATAACCACTCTCAAATATCAATCTAATACAGTTCGTCAAAATATGTAACGTAAGCCTGCCTTCCGGATGAAGGGATTTAACTTCTCATCCATCCACCCACCTCCTTATTCTTATTAGTGAATTAATGTGTTCCCAGATAACACTCCAAACACGCTAACTTTGGCACTTCCTTTGACCCAATTCCTTCCTTTAATCTACTCAGGTCCAAGATCCATACATTTCATCTCAGCCAGATCATGGTGGAACGCACCGTCTGTGTTCCATTCTCCTGTAGACACTCTGAACTCTCAGAATCCTTCAGTAGCCTCTCTGCAGTGATCCAATTCACTGGTTTTTCAAATGCCTTTAGCAACTGAACTCTTTCTTCAAATGAACCTCATTTATAAAACAAAGTAAAACACGATTCCATTACTATACATTTATTTGATGAATTCAATTTTGTAGCTTTTGCTAATTATAAAGAAATCAATGACCATTGGAAGCTGTTTTGCTGAACACCAAGATTTCAAATCAGGGATTTGTGAAAGATCATTGGAATCTCCTATCAGGGTCAACATCCCATTTACCCCCTCTATTTGATTGCTTAATATTACCTAAATTCTAATCTACTCAGAGAAGTATTTGCAAATGGTAACAATTCAGAAGTTTGAAAAAGGAATAGTTTAAATTTTTGTTTCAAAGTTAAAGCACTAAGGGTATCTCACATCCTCACATTTTATCACTAGCAGAAGTTGCAAGTAAGAAGACCAATCCTTACTATAAATGCTAAAGTGTCTATAATATGAATTATCACCACACAATCTGCTTCATGTTCATTTGGCTTTACACAACCGACAGGAGCACACACCCAGGCAAAGGTAGGCACCTTGTGCAATATTCCCCAGGACCACCAAGGGATGCTCTGTAGTGAAGTCCTGCTCATTCTGCTCTACCAAAGTAATTTCATTCCTGGGAAAGAGAAAACAAAAACAAAAAAAGAGGATTTGCATTATCAAAAGCTGTATTTCAAGGCCGGGTACAGTGGCTCACACCTGTAATCCCAACATTTTGGGAGGCCGAGGTGGGCAGATTACTTAAGGTAAGGAGTTCAAGACCAGGTTGGCCAACATGTCAAAACTCCATCTCTACTAAAAATATAAAAATCAGCCAGGAGTGGCGGTGCACAGCTGTAGCCCCAGCTACTCTGGCAGCTGAGGCAAGAGACTCACTTGAACCCGAGAGGCAGAGGCAAAGGTTGCTGTAAGCTGAGATCAGCCAGTGCACTCCAGCCCGGATGACAGAGCAAGACTCTGACTCAAAAAAATTAAAAAAAATAAATAAAAAAGCTGCATTTTAAAAGCATTGGTTTCAATGGCGAATTTTATTTTATTATTATAAACTAAAAATAAATTGGTTGATTAAAACTGACAAAAACAAAACAAAGCTTAGCATTACTGAGCATCTCAAACATAAACCCAGTCCCAATCATCTAATTTCTAAGCCTTTGATATAAATTGCAGTATGATATAACTGGCACCAACACTCAACCAGAAAGACCAGTAGAGAAGCCATCTTCTTGCTTGAAGGAGCTTCTTGCTTGAAGGAGGTTTTTTGTTTTGTTTTGTTTTGGTTGGGTTGGGTTGGGTTTTCTCAGTGCTCTGCATGAGTACCTGTACACATGGCACTAGTTCTGGATATTGGATGCATTATAGTCTATAACCATGTGGAGGTAGTAGAGTACAGTGGTTAAGGCTCAGGGTCCAGCGCCAAAAATCTTGTTCTAATCCCCAGATTCTTTGGGCAAGTCATTTCACATCTCTAAGCACTCAGTTTTCTTATCTGTGAAGTAGTACCTACCCAACAGGGTTGTCATTAGGAAGTAATAGATATAAATTACTGCCTGAGTGTGATGGCTCACACCTGAAATCCCAGAACTTTGGGAGGCCGAGGAAGGTGGATCACCTGAGACCCGGAGTTGGAGACCAGTCTGACCAACATCTCTACTAAAAGTACAAAAATTAGCCGGATGTGGTGGAGGGGGGCACCTGTAATCCCAGGTACTCAGGAGGTTGAGGCAGGAGAATCACTTGAACCTAGGAGGCATAGGTTGCAGTGAGCAGAGATCGTGTCACGGCACTCCAGCTTGGGTGACAGAGCGAGACTCGTCTCAATAAATAAATAAGCCGGGCGTGGTGGCTGAAGCCTGTAATCCCAGCACTTTGGGAGGCCGAGGCGGGTGGATCACGAGGTCAAGAGATCGAGACCATCCTGGTTAACATGGTGAAACCCCGTCTCTACTAAAGATACAAAAAAAAAAATTAGCTGGGCATGGTGGCACGTGCCTGTAATCCCAGCTACTCAGGAGGCTGAGGCAGGAGAATTGCTTGAACCCAGGAGGCGGAGGTTGCAGTGAGCCGAGACCGCGCCACTGCACTCCAGCCTGGGTAACAAGAGCGAAACTCCGTCTCAAATAAATAAATAAATAAATAAATAAATAAGTCCAGGACTGCAACAGAGTAGGAAAGAGCTTCATAAACATGATTTTGATGTTGTTGTCTTTAGTGCACATCTCATCTTTCCTCATTAAATGGTCGCATAATATCCAAATCTCATTATGACACCTTTTGCAGAAGAAAGTGTGCTTGTACTCATTTTTACAATTTTC